ACGTAACTAATGGACGTCCGACAAGACAATGGCAACGCGATGGGTGAGCACAAAGACCGAGGGCACGCTCGCAAAGGGACGACGCACACCTCCCAAATGGTGGCACACCACCCAAACATCCAGCTAGCTGCGTGCTCGCGCGTGGCATGCAGAGACCTACATGAGCAGGGATTTTTCCCGTGGTTTTCGCGGGATTTTCTCTGCCATTTTTCCTCTATTTTTCCTTAAAATTAAAATTTAGTTATAAATTACATAAATAAAATAATTTTAATAAAATAAGAAAAATTTTAACTAAAGTTGTAACGGCCCCGGAAAATATTAAAAAAGAAATGAGTATTTAAATATATCGAATGCGGAAGCGAGATCAAAATTTCAGTTAACATCCCTTACACGAAAAACCAAAAAAAACGTACTTAAAATATAAAAGGTTAAACTAACTAAGAAAGAAAACTCGAAAATAAACTATGCGTATGACTACAGAGTCTCTAGGCATCCCCTTCGTCGTCCTCCTGCGGAACGGGCTCGGGAACCATGTCTTCCTGATCTGAAATGGTTAATTAAGGAGTGAGCTACACTAGCCCAGTAAGAACATCACGATATCTCACCGTCACGGAGATAAAGGTGGGTAGAAAACCACAAAAAGACCAATGGAGCATAATTTACAACAAACTCGTTTATTAACATGAAAACCTTTACCATCCACTTACCTTGGTGGAATTTATGAAAACAATATGACAAAAACAATAACATCATCATAATCATTGAATAATCTAAGCTGTAAAACATAACACTTATCACGCCTCTTGTAATTCAATCATTGTACAACATATCTCTTTTCTCATTTACCAGCCTACTAGTATCCGTGGGGGTCCATAGGGGTTCCGCTACCCGTTAATCTTTAACATTCATAATCAGTTTCCAAGGCCGTCCCCATACCCCGTCCGGTATGGGCGCCAAAACCATGAACCTCAATACCCCGTCCGGTATGAGGGTGAAACGGGCCGTCCCCATACCCCGTCCGGTATGGGCGCCAAAACCATAAGATCTCCATACCCCGTCCGGCATGTGAGACCACAATCCCGGTAGGGTTCCCTACGGACCCGGTCCGTCCACCATCTCCCAGGATATCTAGTCAGGCTAACCCCATCATACAATTATCAGTCTACACAATCTTTCATTTTCCTTTTCCTCAATAAGCATCATCAATTCACATACAAACAAGCAAACAGTAGTTCATGCCAAACAGACAACATACAGTATCGGTTTTTCAGTCATTCAACCCATGATTAATAAAAACGTAGTAAATGCACACAAATCTGTAAAATAAACACATCAAACCTCATTTTGCATTTAAAGCTGTAAACAGGCCAAACCACCAATCACACTAGACTCGGGCTCCATTAGCTACCTTAAGCAATTTCACACATGCATTAATTCAAGAAATACCGTTTTATCATTTTGAACTTTAATACCGTGATAGGAAATAAGGTGAGGGGTCCTTACTTGTTTTCGGGATCCGAATACGATTCACAGTGCGCCTGCAGGCTGTCCCTAATTTTCCCTGAATTTTTCCCGGGGAACTGAAACACACTAACAGTACCTGCACGTGTTCCAAAAAAAATCCAAATTAGGCCCAGGGCCTCTTTCGGCCCAAATCGCAACTCCGGCACGGCGGCGAGTCGCCTCGGGTTGACTGTTTTCGGCCGTTTTTGGCCGAATTCGGCCACACTCGCATTGGTCCTTGTCAGGAAACAACCCTAGGGCCCTCGGGGGGCCAAAAAATCACGGAAAAGCGGAGCTTACCGGCGGCGGCGCTCTCGGGTACGGCGACTCTCCGGCGAGGTTCGTGTTTTGGTGATTTGGCTTCGGTCAACCTGTAGAGAAAAGAATGGTGATCACGGTGATATAAAAATTGCATCGAACGGAGGCCGGGAAGGGCCTCGTCGGAGGCAAAAACCGAGAGGGGGCGCGGCGGCGCCGCTGGGCTTCGGCCGCGTATTCCGGTCGTTTGGCCAGGATTTCGGCTTCGATTTGGCCATAGGAGGAATCAGTGGGGAAAAACGAGTCGGGGGTATGAAATTTACCTCGATCGGCGGTCGGAAATTTCCCCGGTGCGGCGGCAAGTGGCGGCGGGTGGCGGCGGTCGGCCTCTGGTTCGTCTTCTCCGGCGAGCGGCTGGCGGCTAGGGTTTGTGGTCTGGTGTGGGGGTTCTATTTATAACCCCTTGCCTTTTGATCACAGCCGTTCATTTCGTTTTAATCTGGGCCGTTCGTTTTTGATTGAATCTGGGCCGTCCGTGCGTTTGAATCTGGGCCGTCCGATCGCGCGATTGATCTGGGCCGTCGGATCGCACCCACGCGGATCGCCAACGTGGCTCCTTTCGGAGTGACGCGATCTTACCACGTGGCAGGCCCTGGTTGGCCGGGACTGCTGACCGGGCCTGCTGACGTGGCTGCTGACGTGGCCCCCCCCCCTTTTTTTTTTTTTTTTTTTTTTTTTTTTCTCCTCCTTTCCGGGTGCTACACAACTAATTAATTTACTTTCATAATAGGCCTACGTTCACGTGGATCCTTGCTTAGAATCAGAATAATCTAAGAAATTAATACAGAAGCAGGATTGAGAGGCTGGTGCATGAGACAATCCTAATTAAGCTGTAAACATAATAATAATAATAACAACGAATCAAATAATAATTATTCCATATCAATATTATATATGTATATGTTGTGCATGCAAGTACCTTTACAATTACTGTATTCGTTTATATATACAGTTGTTTTATGGGAATCTGGTGCATGGTGGATGCAGGTGATGATCAGTGATTAATTAATGAAAAAAACGATAATATAGAGGAGAAGAAATAGTTTTAAATTTAGGGTTTGCACGAGTGGTGCAGGTCTGATTCAGAAAGAGAAATCTCAGGATTTTGGGCTGTCCCTCATGTGGTTTTTGCCTTCTTTACAAGCTTCTCAATCAATACAATTTCCACCTTCCCATATATCTATCTATATATATGTATATATAGACATTATTTTTCTTTTAGGCTGCCTGCAGATGATGATCAACCTTTTTAAAAGTTTTATTTTTTCCTCTTTATTATCTATTAGATTTTTCATTATAACTATTATTATATATATCAATTTTCTATATAAAAAAAAATACACATAAACTAAAACCCA